TGCGCCTGCACAGGAGGGCCATTTTCCAGGCCCTGCGTCGTTCAGGCTGGAAGCCTGAATTTCGGGCTCAAGGCCTGGAAATAAGGGTCTGCAGACCCCATGACGGTTCACCCCAAAAGCCTGACATCCGGGACCCACAGGCCCTGCATCGTTTCAGCCAAAAAAGGCCTGAGCCTTTTCAGCCTGAAACTGAGGGTTATTTCCGGGCCTGCAAACCCCATGACGGTTCAGCCCAAAAGCCTGACATCCGGGGCCCACAAGCCCTGCATCGTTTCAGCCAAAAAAAGGCCTGAGCCTTTTCAGCCTAAAACTGAGGGCTATTTCCGGGCCTACAGGCCCCATGACGGTTCAGCCCAAAAGCCTGACATCCGGGACCCACAGGCCCTGCATCGTTTCAGCCTAAAAAAAGGCCTAAGCCTTTCTAGCCTGAAACTGAGGGCTATTCTCGGGCCCTCGTCAGACCAACCTGCCCTGATACAAGCACATTCGGGCATTGGCAGGAGTGACCTGCCCTGATACAAGCACATTCGGGCATTGGCAGGAGTGACCTGCCCTGAAGCTTCCTCAAGGGCTAGCACGTGCAGGCATTGGCAAGAGCAGCCTCCTGGACGGGCCAGCACTATATAAGACTGGCCCGCCCTACAGGTAGGGACAGACGAGAGGAGACTGCCCAGGCACTCAACGTGCACTTCTAGGAGGCAGTAGTCTTTAGGATTCGGCTGCAGTAGTAGAGTAGCGTTAGCAGTAGTCTTCAGCGCTGGGCGCTGGTAGCAGTAGACCAGAGTGGTGGAGAGAGGAGGCTGACGGAGGCCAGGGATGCTTACCTGTGGCGCCATAGCTCCAGCTTCGTCTTCGGGGTACCTGCAGCAGAGCGCCACTCACCGAGTGACTTACCTGAGGCGCCATAGCTCCAGCTCGCCAGCGAGGTACCTGCAGCACAGCGCCACCATCACCGGTTAGTACCTGGCATCCAGAAGAGAGAGAGAGAATTCTTCCTCTTCCCCCTCTCAGTCCACCATCTCTCTCCTACCCTCTCACTATCTGACTTCATTGCTTCGGCAGCCTACGAGAGTGAGAGTGGTTTACTTGCAGGGCTACGGGTAAGGGTTGTCACGGGCATTGGCCCCGGATCTGGTTCGACATTTTTGGGCAGACATTTGGTTGGACTTCGGCAAGGGACTGTTTTGAACTTCGCTATTGCGATCTTAGTCTTCTCCCTTGCCTCCATCTTCGTCCTTCCTTCCCCCCTCCATCTCTCATCCGTGGTATCTCCCCATGTGCGTGTATGTAGGAGGCACCTTCGTCTATGTATGCGGTCCCTTCCCTCCCTCTCACATGTGTGATGTATGATGGGATGTCGTAACAGTCCAGGTCAGGTCAGGACTTATCTCCAAGTCTTCTGAGGTGCTATTAAATGCCATTGTTCATGTATCGGGATGTACATTGTCTGTTGATATTACGTTAGTAGTCCATTGTCCATTCAGTCCTTTTCATCACAATGCGGATCCTTGGCTGAACTCTCAGTGCCCGACTGGGCATGTAACAGTTGGTGCCGGAGCACCGCACATGAATCAGGACTACCTGATCTGACACGTGTACGGGGAGTTAGCTGGTGAAGAAGACTCGACTGACTTATTGGTTGGTTGAGCACACTAGTTAATCCCCAAAATCACGATTTTAATCCAACTGCCAAAAATCGAAAATTTTCTTTTTTTCTGGATTTTGTTTTTCCGTTATTTCTGATTGTGGAAAAATCGCAGTAGCACAACTCCTTAAATTTCTGTTGTCTTGTCGAAATTTCGCTGTTGGAAATCCAGAATATCTCTTTTTGAAAATCTTGATTTTGCAGTTTTCCGTACTTAAAAAAATTCGGAATATTTTTTTTCGAAGTTCATTTTTTTTCAAAACGGTACGGGAAATCTCTCTGTCAGTACTACTTTCCAAGCTGTGCATACTCTCATTAAAGCAAATCTGATTTTTTTTTGTAATCATTTGCCGTATGGAAGTCGAATTTTTTTCAGTTGTATTTCGTACTTCAGGGATAGGGGGAGCTTGCTGAACTTGCAAACAATTTTATTTTTTTTCTCTCTTCGTCCCCTCAGAATTTTTTTGCGAAGTTCAACCTTTTCTGTTTTTATTAACGACTCCTTATCTGGGCGATCTACCCCACCCACCCTCCCTATCTACGTTGTTTGCCATCTCTGATCTCATCTTCTTCATCCATTCCGGGTATTCCCTGTGGTGGCATTGGTAAGTTGCCACATCAGCGGACCTCGTCAGCAGACCACGTCAGCAAACCACATCAGCGGACCACATCAGCAGGCCACGTCAACAGGGAGTGCCACGTCAGCCACCTGGGCCTGTTTATGCTGACGCGCTCGCAGACAGCCGTCATGGACCAGAAACCGGGGGAAACGGCGGAGGCATATCAGGACCGCATGCTGGCTTTGATCATAGAAGCCAAGCAGCGGGCGGATGCAGTAGCAGCCGTAGAGAAGAAGAAGGCGGAGGATGCCGAGSAGGCACRACTGCTAGCTCTTGAACARYAGCGTCTGCAGGCCGAGGCAGCAGCRAAGGMTGCAGATGAAGAACGATTGAAGCGGCGTGAGAAGATTTTCAGCGGGGAGCAAGCATTACTCACATTGGCAGCGGAATGGCGAACTGAGGCGGAGACAGGGAAGATGGAGGAGAGCGAGACCAAGATTGCCCTCCTCCTCTCCCATCTCACGGACCTCCTGGCGACATGCATCGCGCAGCAGGAGGACATTCACAACCTCGATGTCGAAGTCAAGAGTGTTCGCAGCCGCGTACAACAACTGGAGCAACGACCAGCCGCCGCCCTTGTGGCAAGCTCCTCCAATACATTAGACCGCCTGGACGCATTGGAGACTGACGTCAGCACACTCAAGGACGGCGCACGACTACAACAAACCGCTACTCAACAATTGGAGCAGCGGGTCTGTGCTGCCGCCGCCAGCCCGAGTTCGGGACAGCGCGAGTCAACTCCCAAGTTTTACGGTCAGGAGATCTTCTGCGATTCAACAAAGACGGATCCAGTTCCATGGTTCCGCAAGTTTGAACTCACGTTGCAGCTGCACCTCGTCAGCGAATGCAAGCACCACGCGTACTTGTACTCCCGGTCGGGAGGCGCATGCCAGGCATGGCTGGACAATCTCTTGTCCCAGTACGGGGTGGTCGCTGCCGAGTTACACACGAAGATCAGTTGGGAAGACCTCAAGGTGGCGTGGCACAAGCGGTTCCAAGTGGAGCCGCCGGAGATCAAGGCCATGGACAAGCTCATGACCTTCGAGCAAGGCTCGCTGCCAAACGTCGACTGGATTGCCGAGTACCAACGCTTGACATCCATCCCAGGTCTGCCGATGGGCTTCAAAGCCATCAAGCACTACTTCATTTCGAGGTCGTGCCCGACGTTGAGCAACGCCTTGACACATGTCGAGGACACACTGACAACGACAGCGCAACTGTTCGACAAGGCCGCACAGATTATCATCACGAACAAGGAGGCGAAGAACCTCACTCGTGCTGCGGCAGGCCCGAGCAAGGACCAGCATCGGCCCAAGGTGGCCGTGGTTGCGGCGGCATCGCCAAGCAGCCAATCTAGAGAGGCGGAGTCTACCAATGAAGGAGACAGACTCGCAGCTGCTCGGGATGGTGGCCGCCCCGGCCGAGGCCGAGGACGCGGCAAATCGAAGACAAACACCACATCAAACCCCGGGCCCGGCGCAGCAGCTCAGGGGCCCTGGACCCCCTACGGTCTTTCAGAGCAAGCTTACAAGCAATGCACGAAGTACCGTTACTGCCTGTGGTGCAACAGCGACTGCCACGAGACAGCGGGCTTCCCTACCAAGGGGAAGGGCAAGCAGGGAAACTGAGCGCCGCCGAGAGTGAGTCGACGACACTCTCGACGCCTTCGAAACCGGTTTCTTCGCGAGGGACCGGCCTTCATTTCGGGGCACATGCGGAAGTCGACAGTCCTCTTCTCTATTCTTTTGAGGACTATGCTGCCTGGCTTGTTCCGGCGCTGGGATTTTTTGCTAAAGGACAAGACGTGTGTGCGGCATCTTCTCCGTCCGACAACGGTTCTTCTTCGTCTTCAAGTGGTTCTTCACGGGATTCGGCGCGTGGGTTCAACATAGAGGAATTGGACCCACTCAAGTCTGGGGATTTCGCATGGCTTCCTCTCCCGACCACGGGCCGCTTACCGGGACCGCAATGCGCAACACTCTGTGCCCATCTTCACAAGTACTTGTCCTTTTATGCACCACCAACTTCGCCGATGGATGACGAGGTCGCGGTGGGGGAGATCTTGGCATATGTTACCAAGGTGGCCCGCGAGTTTCGCACGCAGCGGTACGACGACAATAATGCACCGTTGATGTATGTCCGCATCCAAGTTGGGCAGGCGTCCTGCAGCGCTTTGCTGGATAGCGGCGCGACTCGCAACTTCATGAGCCAAGCTTTTATGCAAAGGGCTGGCCTCGGCGTGCAGGTTCGGAGGAAGGCAAACCCGACGGCGATCAAGTTGGCGGATGGAAAGACGCAGCAACTTCTCGACCGTTACATCGAGGCCATACCGGTGTACTTCGCACCTCATGCATGCGAACCGGTCACGTTGGCTTGCAAGTGCGGATCACACGGTCAACTTTCACCAGCGGACTCTCACCGTTCGCGACGCCTTCGGCGTCGAGCTGCCGTGTAATATTCCTCTTCCGCACCCTTCGATCCGGTGCCAAGTCGTGACGGCCAAATCGTTCCGAACTACATGTGCATATGAGCAACCTGAAGAGATAGGCCTATGTTTCTTGCGAACTAGCGCGGTAGCCGACTCTTCACCATCGGACTTGTCTTCGGACCCCCGCGTGGTACGGCTGCTTGATGAGTTCGCTGACATCTTCGAGCCACCTACCGGTGTGGTGCCGGATCGGCCGATCTCTCACGAGATCATTCTTGAGGCCGGTGCCGTGCCGCCGAAAGGTTGCATCTATCGGATGAGCGAGGAGAAACTGGAGGTCCTTCGCGCACAACTCGACGACTTGTTGGCCAAGGGCTGGATCCGCCCTAGCAGCTCCCCATATGGAGCACCAGTTCTCTTCGTAAGGAAGAAGAACAAGGATCTACGTCTGTGCATCGACTACCGCAAGCTCNGTAAGGAAGAAGAACAAGGATCTACGTCTGTGCATCGACTACCGCAAGCTCAACGCGCAAACTGTGAAAAATGCAGGGCCTCTCCCTCGTATCGACGATCTTCTTGAGCGACTGGGCGGTGCTAAGTTCTTTTCCAAGTTTGACTTGAAGTCGGGGTATCATCAGATTTCGATACGCCCGAATGATTGCTACAAGACCGCATTCAAGACGCGGTATGGGCATTTTGAGTGGGTGGTCATTCCTTTTGGCCCCACCAATGCCCCGGCAACCTTCCAGGCGGCCATGACCCACGAGTTCCGTGCTATGTTGGATCGGTTCGTGTTGGTCTACCTAGACGACATTCTCGTCTACAGCCCGACTCTGGAGGACCATCTTGAGCATCTTCCACGTGTGTTGGAGACGCTCCGCCGTGCCAAGTACCAAGCCAACCGCGACAAGTGCGAGTTTGTCCGGCAAGAGCTTGAGTACTTGGGCCATTTTGTCACACCAGAGGGCATCAGCCCGCTATCGGAGAAAATTCAAGCCATCCAGGAGAGGCCGGAGCCGCGTAACGTCACGGATGTCCGTTCGTTTCTTGGTCTTGCCGGCTACTATCAGCGCTTCATCAAGGGCTATTCGAAGATTGCGGCCCACTTGACCAAGCTTCAATGCGAGGATCGGCCGTTTGACTTCGACGAGGATGCGCGGGAATCTTTCATTGCTCTCAAAGTTGCACTTTTGTCAGCGGAGGTCTTGCGAATCTACGACCCGCTATTGCCCACACGCGTCACTACTGATGTGTCCGGCTATGGTATTGGCGCTGTCCTCGAGCAACACGATGGCGTGGACTGGCACCCGGTCGAGTATTTCAGCAAGAAGGTTCCCGCCGTGCACTCTATTGATGACGTGAGGAAGAAGGAATTATTGGCCTTCGTACACGCACTCAAGCGCTGGCGGCATTTCCTTCTTGGTAGACGGTAGTTCCGATGGGTAACGGACAACAATCCGTTGGTCTTTTACACGACCCAGGACACAGTCAACAGCACCATTGCCCGGTGGATGACCTTCATTGACCAGTTTGACTTCTTTCTCAATCACATTTCGGGCAAGTCAAACCGTTTTGCGGATGGTCTTTCACGACGTCCGGACCATTGCACCACCGTCTACTCGACTTTCGAGATTGATAACGACTTGCGGGACAATTTTATCTGTGGCTACTAGGCCGACCCCGAGTTTCGCGACAAGTATGCAAATTGTTCCTCGCCCAATCCGGCACCTTCTCACTATCGGATCCAGGAGGGATATTTGCTTGTCTACTCGCGGGGGAAGGATCTTCTTTGCGTACCGAGTGACCCTCACTTGCGTACACGGCTTCTTGGCGAGTTCCAGGATGCTCCCGCCACCGGACATTTTGGCGTCAATCGAACGATTGGCCGACTTCGCGAGCGATTTTGGTGGCCCGGTCTTCTCGACGACGTCACTCGCTACTGCGAGTCATGCGAGATTTGCCGACGTTGCAAATCCCGCAATCATCGTCTGTATGGCGAGTTGCGACCACTACCGGTTCCCTTGCACCGACGGGAGGCGATTGCCATGGATATCACTGGGCCATTCCCCAAGCACAAGACCGGTATGGATGGGATTCTCACGGTAGTCGATCGACTCACCAAGTTTGCCATGTTTTTGCCTTGTCGCTATCATGCCAAGGCACCAGAGTTGACCGAGGTTCTCTACGCCGGTTGGATTCGAACCAAGGGTTACCCCAGGGAAATCGTCTGCGACCGCGACACTCGGTTCATGTTTGATTTTTGGTTGGCGCTCACCAAACGATGGGGCTCATCTCTCAAGCCTAGTTCAGCTCGCCACCCTCAGACGGATGGCCAGACGGAGAGGGCGCACCAGACGGCACAGGTTCTCCTTCGCACTCTCATCCGTCCCGATCAGAAGGATTGGGTTGAGCGGCTGCCGGATGTCGAATTGGCCTGCAATTCGTCCATCCACCCGGCTATTAGGATGTCGCCTTTCGAGTTTGAGCATGACTCTCCGGTCACTTCTCCGTTGGACACCATCGTTCCACGCACGGCCGAGAGCGACGACCATCTCCTTTTCTTGCGTCGGATGCAAGAGCTTCTTGTCAAGGCACGCAATCAGATGGCAAAGACGCAGCAACGTATGAGCCAGCAGGCCAATCGCCAGCGTCTTCCTTGTCCATTCCGCGCCGGCAACCTTGTATGGGTTTCCGCCGCGGAATTCAACCTTGAGCAGGATATCTCTCGCAAGCTCCTCCCGAAATGGATGGGGCCATGGCCGATTGTAGCACCTGCTGGGGATGCACCTGAGGGACCTTTCTTCACAGTTCAGGTGCCCGCCCACTTGCCCGTCTACCCGGTTTTTCATTGCTCCAAGTTCGCGTTGTACACACCTGCAGACCAGGATGACTTTCCCGGGCGACGATCGCAAGACCTACCCTCTATGGACGGCTTTCAGGAGGTCGGTGACATCATTTCCCAGCGATGCTACGGCAACAAGCCGACCGAGTATCTGGTACACTTTGCGTATTGCACCCACCGAGCCGACCGCTGGTTGACCCGTGCGGAACTCCAAGCGACAGCTCCAGATGTTCTCGTACGGTATGAACGAAAGATGCAAGGCAAGCCGGTATCTTCGGCTCCACGCCGCAACCGCGTCCAGGTTCCACCTTCAGATCGTCGGCTGTGCCCCCGACCCGGCTTGACTTCATAAGGAGGGGGGGGTGTTACATGCTGCGCCTGCACAGGAGGGCCATTTTCCAGGCCCTGCGTCGTTCAGGCTGGAAGCCTGAATTTCGGGCTCAAGGCCTGGAAATAAGGGTCTGCAGACCCCATGACGGTTCACCCCAAAAGCCTGACATCCGGGACCCACAGGCCCTGCATCGTTTCAGCCAAAAAAGGCCTGAGCCTTTTCAGCCTGAAACTGAGGGTTATTTCCGGGCCTGCAAACCCCATGACGGTTCAGCCCAAAAGCCTGACATCCGGGGCCCACA